TAGCGTGAGAAGTCCTCACTCACTGTAGTGCCTTGAGGTAGTTCGTCTCACTGGGCAATCACCACTGCTAGTGAACCCTCATCTGCAGTTTGGTGCCACACTGTCTTGGAGCCAAAGTCCAGACCTGGCTCCCCTGTTCTCCTGGGATCACAGTAGGACCCAGGCCCAGCACCGCCATTAAGAAGCACTGCCACTGGGGTGGTTTCTCTGGGTAACTGGTGGGGATATTTGACAGTGAAGCCCTGGTAGTCCACTTAACGCCAGCCATGATCAAAGGACTGAGAACCCAACTGCCCTTCAGTGGAGCTGAGTTCTGTTTATGTGCAGTTGGGTTCTGTTTCCTCTGGTTAAAGGAGCTTCCCTCCCTCAGTGGACCCAGGCCTGGCTGATGGGTGTTTAGACAAGGGCTCCCGTCCCAGACTGGCATCTGGCACACATCACCCAGGGAGAAAGACCGAGGCTTGAGGTTACAGCAGCCCAGGGTCAAGATGAGATTATTTCCTAAAAGGAGTACGTTCAGGGTCAGTGAGTGGTTAAACTCTTCTACATCAGAGTTTCTCAACCTCCACACTATTTGTGGGAGCCCATGATTGGGTTAATAAATTGTAACAGACACCAGCCACTTGTGACCTTTAAGAAGAACAAATGTGCTTTGCTAGCAGGAGCCTGTGCTTCTGCACTGCTGTCTCCTTGCTGTAAAAAGCAGAGATAATGCCTTGCTTGCATAGTTGGGGTTCTAGCTTAGGGTTCCTTCTGCAATGGCAGAGCCATTGTGTGTCCCTTGCTATAAGCACAGGACATGGCTTGTTTATCATAAGCATAAGTTCAGGGTTTACTCTGCTCATTGCAAAGTGAGGACCCATGCCCTCAGCTATAAACGCTGGGCATGCTTTCTGCTGTTTAAAGTCTATAATACCCAAGTCAAGAAGCTGGTGGTCTAGTGGTCTGTTCTGTAATCAGCTTCTTACATCTGAAGAATTTACCTTGTTTCCCTCCGTCCGTGACTGCCCTGAGGATAAATTAACCCTTTGTACCCATGTGGAATTCTGATCTCTACCCTATCCTGTTTTTCTTTAAGCTCCTGCACTCCATGACACAATTGCTTGTGATCTTTTCTTTGATTGTGCACAATAAATATGGGAGTATTTGAGAGGCTCGGGGAGTTGGTCTCCAACTCACTCTCACTCTCTTGACTTTCCACCCAGTCTTGAGTAATTCATTCCATCGCAGTGGGACTTCTGTCAGACAGAACCTACAACTGTTGACATTTTGAGCTGGATAATTCTCTGTTGTGGGGGACTGTCCTGTGCATTGTGGGAGGTTTAGTGTCATCCCTGGCCTCTGTCCACCAGATGCCAGCAGACCTCTACTACAATTGTGTCAACTGGAAATTGCCCAACATGCCTGGGTGGTGCACTTGGTGGGGGAGTGATTATGTTAGAGCAGATAGCTAGGTAAGAACAGAGAAAGGGGTGCATGGGCCAAGTGGCAGGAATTGGGCAGGAAGGAGGGCACTGACCAAATACAGAAACCATACATCATGTAAGCATCAGGGGTCCCTGGGCAGAGAAGGAAAAGAAGGAACTTCTGAGCTTATAAGTGGTCACATCTTTTGGGGTGGTGAGTGGCCTGGAGGCCAACAAAGAAAGGTGAGAAAAGCCAAGAATCTTCAGGGTTCAAATACAATCTTTTGCTCTCATGAGCAAAAACCCTCATTTCAATAAAGTTAGCCTTGCATATTAGAAGTATCCATCATGCATGAAGCCATGACACTTCCAATCAGACTTAATAAGGGCAAAAATCCCTTCTCCCTTTGGAAAGGTGGAGTTAGAATGAAAATCAGGGAATATGACCCCAAATCTTTCCCTTCCCAATAAGTATTTTTCCCATTCATTTTTACACTCTGTGTAACCAAAACAAAACAAAACAAAAAACCTCAGGGCAGCTGCTTGCCTGAGCCTGTCCGCTCTCGCCTTGAGAGTGTATTATCCATCCCTTAATAAATCCTCACTTTGCTTTCTTAATGTCTGAGTCTTGTCTCTGAATTCATTCTGGGACATGACAAGAACCTGGACACCGGCTACATCTAACAGCAGCAATTAGATCAGCTGCTTGAAAGAAATGCTGCTTCTGATCTCCAGCCTCCTTTGCAGCCACACTCCTCCTTGTTGGGAAATTAAGCCCTCATTCCCTTCCTTTTAGTATTGTTCATTTTTCTAGAATCATTTCATAGGAAACATCACCCTTGATTCCTCTAACATGAGAATTGAGAATTCTTTTAGGAGGGAGCAGCTCCAAGATACTGTTTCCTTGACCTATGGACTTGGGCATCCACCAGAACAGAAGCTTAGAGGTAATTCCAATCCCAGTATCTATAACAGATTTAGAAAGAGAATGAAGCAAATTCAATCACAACCTGCAGTATCAAAGTGCAGCTCTGAATAGCTTAGTGGATGTTTTGTCTGCTCAGCCTAAAAGCTGTGGGAAAACTGAGCATTCCATCAGATGCAAAGACCATCT